ACGGAGCCCCCCCCCCCGCCTCCGGCGGCCTCTACCGGCAGAAGCGGGGGCGCCATAGCTGAGAAGGAGGCTTCTCTGCGGCCGACTACGCCGCTGCTTCGGGAGGCTTGGATCTTGCGGCCGATGGACTGAACCGTCGTTCGTGATGGTGGGGTTGACGTGTTGAGAGACACGCGAAGAGAGGCAAATTCAAGTCATCATCCGGCCTTGGTACGAGGTACCCCTTATGGCGTGTTGTGTTGGTGTATATCACGGCTGCTGTGGGAGGTTTGAGGGGTTTCGATACGGCCGGAGACAGCCCGTCAGACGTTCACCAACTTTTGGGAACTATAATATATTACTTGTGGTTCGTGTTCGGGGCTTTCCTAACCCTCGGAACCTAATAGCAACCCTAACCCTTTCCCTACGGTGGAGATAGCCCGCCAGATGTCGAAAGGCTACTGGTTATTCGCAAACAGGTTGCTCGGTGTCGTGTTCGTTCCAACAGTACTTCCCACGGACTGGCTTGTAATCTCAGCTGTTCGCTACCACTGCTGTAGGGGACGAGGCAAGATGCGACAAAAACACAAACTAGAGACGATCTACTTTTGGCATTTCATTTGCACTCAGAACACCAAAAATACAAACTAGCAGACAACAACAACAGCAGCAACGCCGATGTAAATAACGATTCATCACGGGTCCGCAACAGCAAGCAAAAACGTCGTACTTCAAGAAACAGCTGTGTTTTTCTGCATATCCACCGACCTTCGGAAGCGAAATCTTGCGGCTCTTCTTGGCCCCCGCTGCTGTCGCCGTCGCCGCCACCGCTGTTGCCGACGAGGAGGAGGAGGCGGGGTGCAGGAAGTCGGAAGCGAGGGTCTCGAAGCGATGCTGGATCGGCGACGCCGGCATCGTCGGACCTGTTGAGATTTCGTTTGATATATCATGGGGTTGGTTTCGACTTGCGTGGTACCGCATACTGCTGGTGATACAGGATTTTTTTATGGTGTGTTGGTGTTGGTTCCGATTCTCTGGTACAGAATGCCGGAGATAAATTAGGTGCTGTCAGAACCTGCTGTTAGCAGCGAGCGGGCGATGGTGGGTATTTCGCTAAACGGCGTGTTTCGCCGAACGAGGGCGAGGGACAGCGGATTGCAGTGGTATGGCAAGTGAGCGACGAGAGCCAATCCTTGAGGCTTGCGGGACACGACAAACCGCAGCCTTCACGCGCCGCCGACCGAACAAGCCCTTCCTGCCTGGTTCAATTGCTTCCCCTGTAGACCTTGTCCGAAAAAAAAAACAAGAAAACATGCAAACACCGCTGCAGCACCACCAATGACTGGCACCAGCACCAGCACAAAAACCAACCACCACCTTGAAAGAAGGGCACCAAAGCCGGCGAGAAAAGAAAATTACCAACCGCGACCGCGGAAGGACGAAAAAAAAAAAAAAAAACGCACGCACGCACGCACACACACACGACCTCAACACAATGCTCCTTGCCCATGAACAAACAAACAGAAGACTCACTCCGAACGTGGCCCGATCCCAAGAACGCATCCCGGCTGGAGTTCCCCGTGGCGGGGCCGCTAGTGCTCGTGAACGAGGCGCTGGTTGTCGAAGGGGTCGGGGGGAGAAAGGTCTGCTGCGCCTGCATCGACGGTGGCGGCGGGCCGTGCTCAGCGGTGGCTCTTCGCATCATGCGGTCGCTCCACGAGACTCTGCTTTCCCGGGCCGACGCTGGCAGGCAGTATCGGGGATATCGCATCGGGGGTATCGCGTCGGAGATATCAAATCGGAGACAGTGGACAGAGAGGGAGAGGAGGACAGGGGGGGGGGAGGTATTCAGATTTTGAATGCCTTAAGTTGTTCAACGTTGAAAGGGGGTGTGTGCTCATGTACACGCATGCGGTAGTCGTTAGACCGTTAACTTCGCATGCCTACAACGAAGGGACGCAGCGACATGCCGGCCGAGGCTACGTTTTACAAGCATGAACCGGAGAGCTGGTCATCATTCTCCCGCATTGCGCCGCATTGCGGGAGGGGCGGCGGCAGTATCATGTATACAGAAAATCATGCATCGGTGATTCGTTGAGCAGTTCGACCAATAACACCGCGTTGTTCTCGTGACAGCAGCAGCAGCAGGAGGAGGGAGGCAGCGGCGAGAGTCGGGGTAAGCTATGACGTAAGCAGCGAGGCCGACTAAGACACAAACAATACACGCAGACGGCTGTATCGTGATGGGTGGCAACGCTCTGCTTCTTACGCCTTTGAACAAAAACACTTTCTTTCGGCACATCCCTCCAACCCTCATCACTACTGCCAACCCTTGCCCCTGCTGCCAACTTCGTCATCACTATTTGCCACCATTTCGCGAATTATACCCCACAGCGAGACATCTTGAGACCGACCTATCGACGGAGCCGCTCCTGCCGTCGAGGAGGCGGTCGCAACGTTCCCCAGTGCTTCCATCACCAACGGGACGGGGGGGAGCATGCGCCCCCCGGGAGACACGCCTTCGGAGGGCGGAAGAGGCAGCGTCACGAGATACCCTGGAAAGTATCCCCCCCCCCAAGATACGGGCACCAAACGGACGAAAGATGAAGCGTTGGTTCAAGGCGTATCGGGGAACAACGGTCACTCATGAAAGAAGAAGGAATACCTGAGGGGGGCCCGTGCCATCAATGCCTGAGGAGCCCCGCCGCATTCCGACGTTCATGAAGCACCACCGCTCCAATTACGCCCCCGAATCGCAACATTCGGCGTTATTCCCGTCCCTGCAATCTCATACCCCAACCCACCCTCCCTTCCCTCAAAAACTGGGCTGCGGGGTGGGGGGGCGGCGGCGGGGCGTACTCTTATGTTTTGCATGCCTTAGCGGTTAGACCATTGACCACGCGTCCTCGAGAGGACGGAGCATTGTTCCCACAGGACCGATCACCG